GCTAAATCGGTTGCTGGTGAAACGCTTAATCAATTGACCTTGTACGGCGACTACATTAAAGGAAAGGCTATGGTGAGACCGCTTTCAGCCCTATTGAGAGGTGTTATGAACCCTCATGAGCAGCAGGCACTGCAACAGTATCCAGACGTGAGGATTCTGAATATCTTAGAAAATTACAGAAGTGTATTCAAACATCTATTTTTAAGTTCGGTTGGAATCATAATTATCGCCCCTCTGCCAACTTCTTGTTATCGTTACTTTTTTTTCATTATTATTATGCCGTTTTGGGCAAGCGCAGGCCACCTGCATTAATTAAACGTCCTAGAGTAGAAAGCGTGCGAGCTACCACCGCAGTTTATACGTGCCTTAACGGGTTTGTAGCACTCACACCCATTATAAGAAATCATAGAACGAGATCATTCTCTAAAGTCGTTTTCCTTTTTGCAATTACACTACCTTATTTCTTTTTACTGGAGCAAATTGCACTGTTATTACGCAATCTTAGGAGGCGAGCACGATAGAGTATTGTGCCAGATAAGGGGAAAAAAGGAACCGAATTAGAGCCCTATCTTCGGGAAGGCTCTTTCTTATAAATCGAAGGACAATTAGATGGGCGTTCGCTCGTTGAGGAAGTTCACAGTTGGCTCCACACTTACCTGATGCCGTTTTCGGTGGAAGCGAGGAAGGTTTCATGACAAAGAGCCTAAAATGGGAGCTGGATCAAGCTATAGCAGGCGAGCTAAGGGCAGGGCCATCCAACTAATAGAAGGCCCACTCTACAATAGTTAGTCTATTGGTAATGTCTCTACAGATATTTAAACATCATATTGTAATCTTACTTTAATCTAAAAGACGTACACGGATAACGTGTGGAGGTATCGTATGTACAGCAAACAGAGGTTTGTGACACTGAAGATAAGTTTTACGCTAATGGACTTTATTTACTATCATCCAAGTTATTACATTATTATCGATTAGAAAACGTTAATTATCGATTTGCACCAGACCCCTATAAACTAAATGGCATGTTTACATAACTGTACATATCTTGAACAGATGATGTAATGGGAGGCAACAAATATTTGCCTTCGAAGCGAAAAAAGGAAGACCAAGTTGTGCTTCCTGTCCAAACCCGTGATAATGTAATTACCGTAGGTAATGAGCAATCTTTAATAAATTATTGATTCGTTAGCTCAATGACTCACCTGCTGTAAGCGCCAGTGTATTATATACGCTTAACCGTTGTCACAGTAATCTTTGGAAATTTTTGTTAAGAGACATTTTGAGAGATGTTCTGGAGGCAAACTGAGTTCTTGGGTTGACGAATACACTATGAATAATATGAAAGACCAGCAATGAAAAAGGCCCATTTAATCTGTGCTGCGAACGATTAAGTGCAGTCATTGCTAGGTAAACAAAAGGCCGCTTTGCTATTATGTAAAAATCTGGCCGCTCTGACCGTTTATTTCAGCCGCACGAAGCAAATAATGATTCTTCACATACAAAATTAATTTAATTTCAATGTACTTAGCTATGACTACGTCCTTAAACGATGCTTACAAATCTCATTAGTTACTAGGATTTCAAAAGATACCAGAGGCAGCGAAACACATATAGCCTTCTCGCATTTTCAGTGTAGAGCCTCTAAATTGAAAAGGTTCGTAAAAATCAGTTCTGCCTTCGTCATGGCCACACCGCATTGACTGCGTTGAGGCCAAAGAGAGTAATAGGCGAAACGGGAAATTAGGCCACTCGATATACTGGGTTATCTGAATAACGTAACATTGCCCTTGGTGCAAGGCCATTGCTGAGAATTGAGAAGAGATTAAAAAAATCAATCAAGAGGAAATTCATTTCAATTAAAGTAAAGGTCTGCGTCTAAGGCTAGAAGTCCGACAACTACGGCAGAAACGGTAAACAACTTAACTGATACGATATCCATTTAATGATGCTAATCTCTATTCAGTTAATTGATTGAAATGTGGAGAAAAATAAAGTAAGTATTTTTATAATTAATTTTTAGTAGGTAATATGGTTTTACATTGATTGTATTAAAAAAATGCGAAAAATAGTTTTTGGCTAACAATACTAATAATAAATAATGATAATAATATTAATAACAATACTTTTTCCCATGAGTATTACCAACCCATACCCCGATTCGCGGCGTGCTGCCCAACTTGCATCATTTTCGCTTTATCGAGTCATGATTTTGCAATATGTTGTCTTAGGGAAGCTTTTGATTTCGGCTCTGAAGCGATCTGGAATAGCCTTTCCCTAACCTACCTATCGAATTTAAGAGACTTTTGCCCTAGACCACGATCATTGTGAATTTAGTGGTAGAAACGCACAGCGTTCAATATACGTAATAATATCAATGCAACATTATATGCTTCCAGCAAAGTTTCAGTGATGCCCTTGCAAAACAAACGTATTACGATTAATATATCCATGTATAGTAACGCCAGAATTTTTCTTTAATAAAATTTATAACAAAACCAATAAAGTCGTTCCAAAACAGAATTCCATAAAGCCTATAAATAAATGTATTCTTTGCCTATAAACAACTACCATAGGTACACCAAATTCAAACAGAAGTGCAAAAAGCATCAATTTAATTTCCCTAGACGACTCGAGGTACAGAACTTGCTGCAATTATAAATCTGCCCTAATACATCTATGTTGGGGGATCACTGTCCGAATCCAAGGGATCGATATGCTATTTTACCTTTCGACTGCTTTGACATTATGCTTTTCATAGCGCCTGTTTGCTTTTCGTGCTATGAAATCGTATAGTTGTCATCCATCCGATCGTAGCAGAAACGCCAGACGGACAACTGATATATAGCTTTAGAATACTCGAACTTCGCAACACGCGTATTGGTGTTTTTGTGCGCAAGTGTGTTGGTCGCTTTTATAAACACTCTTCGATCTTCCATTGATCGTGAGTCTTTTTTTCGTCCAAGTGATCGGTGTAAGTGTAACAAGGTGACATGCATGAAGTTCCGCTGCGATAGGTAAATTCAACCCACACGTGATCCGACTTGTATGAAAGAAAACCGGCTGGTCTAGGAAACACAAGATCGCTTAACGAAACTGGCATCAGTCGAGCAAGTGATGCTTGAGAAGTTAGGGAAATGTCTTTCCCGGGGCTGACATTTATTTACGCTGAGTGTGCCTCGTGTTAAAATCATATTTTTAGTATCTAAAGGAAAACGACGGGGCGAAGCCGGTCAGTGTTATTAAAATACGCCAAACGGAATGTCCTTCAATAAGCAGATTTTAGACAAATGCTTAAATCAAAGGATATATTTGGTTTTCAGCTTGGCTGAACTTTGACACTACAGATTCTTGAAGAAATAAAGCAGAAATAAACGAGTCGCGTCAAGCGGTTCATCATTCGTTTGACCTGTATTCATAGGCTAGAGTGAGGCATCCGACCCCCAAGCACTGGTACAGTGCAGAGATCCGTTCGTTATGGTTAGTTGGCAGCACCAGCCAGTCTGTTATGGATTTTGCACCGGCAATTTATATGGGAGTTTACGGGCTCCTTTTGCAAATATTGTATCACGCACGCGACAGGCAGTTTATCGCTACGAGTAAAAAACAGGACACCTTGATCTTGGGACGCTCGTTGCCACAGGGCCTTGAGGATTGGGAGACACACTACGGCACTTACCGAGCACCTGGCCGTGGGGCCGCACCCGATGAAGGGATTATTTAGACGACGGTGACTGTGAAACAGGGTGTCTTACTACGACAACCTAGTCGATAAGCCCGCAAGCAGACCAGAGGCGCTCTATACAGATTTTCTAGTTCGCCTTCGTGTGTTGAATAACTAACGTTGAGAGTACTGAATAGAAATCAAATAGCTAAAAGTATAGCTTGTAACCTTGAAGCTGTGTTGTTTTTTGTTATTTCCTGAAGCAGGTATTCATTATATGTGGTTACATATCCCTGGTCCCCCCCCCCCCCCCATATAAAATAATAGTGTTTCTGTTGATTTTCCTTCGCTTGTGAAAGTATTAAGCTACCGTCAAACCAAAAAGCCACAATAAGACTAGTATAAATTGGTTTTGCATTGAGCACATTTTACACCATGTACATTCGTATATCAGGATCTGTCGCCTTGGAAAAATTGTCCGCTTAATAGATGAAGCTATTATGAAAGCACTCTTATTTACACAAAAGGGGATATGTGGTACATATATCAAGTATTGCATACCAAATATTATATAGAATTAATTAGAAATTTCAGATATTAATATTAGCAAACTTTGTCAAAAATCATACGGGGGAAAAATTTCGTGCAATTTGTATTAACGGATTTTTCTCAGGGTCAAATTTCGGAAAACGCATCTATCGGAGCAGTCAACTTTGTTTTTGCACTTTGTCGAACTTTTATTGAACAAGAAAAAGAGCTAAATAACTATTTTTTTTTTCCGCAACAGGTTCAGGTGTCTCAAAGCCAGATTCTTAAATAAAGATCGAAAGCAAGTGACGTTTTATAAAATTCAGTTGTTATATGGGCCACAGCATTTTGAGTGTATATAAAACCGCTGTCGATGCTAATTTTATAAATTAAAGAGAATAAAGTAGCCTAAGAGCTTAAGTTATATATGTCGAGCTGAACTAAGGCATTTTAGTTTCTCTAAAAGATATTTTGGTACAATACATTTCTTGAGTAGGACAATATTGTCCACATATGCAGGACATTGCGGGTGGATCAGACTTTAACATGGATAATAATTCGTACGAGAATCATGCATAATTATATATGCATAGTTAGGTTTCAGTCCAGTCAGATTAGCTCTGGAGAGCGGTGTGTTTTTCTTTCGTCACCAATAAAAATTTTTTTTATTATCGTTTATGTTTTTCCTTACAAAGAATGACCGTCGCCTGAACCGAGGGGAAAAATCACACGGAAATTATAGTATTTTTAGTAAAGCAATTCCTAAATCTGACTCGTTGCGAAGCCCTCGAAACAATTTACCTCAAAACAATATTTGGCTGTCAAGAAAGAAAACAATACAGCATAAAAATATGCACCCATCAATCTGCTTGTGGGATTGAACCCGGCCTTTCCAGGCGATTGCACACCACACAATGGCATTTGTAGCAGTGTGTCCTAAATGTCCTACACAGATTGACCTTTTATTGGTTTGGATGTAGATGTAAAACGTCTCATGATTGGTATGCCTTTACTTTTAAGGCTAGAACATAACAGCAGTATATGGAGATACGACAGCTTTTACAGCATCCATAGCAACAAGGTTTGCCATAACTGATAACAAAATGCTGTTTACTGGAAACGTCTCTAACGCATGTCTCTTTCGAAGGCGGTCTCACCTTGCCATTGGTTGATCTATAAGAAGCCCTGGCAGAAGGACATCATTTGACGTTACTGCGAAGAACGTGCTCTCCTTGACGAAGACGATTGGAAATATGCACTAAGCAGGCAAAAAGAAGTCAGTATCTAGTAATGTAATAATCAGACTTTGCTTTACGCCTGTTGCAAGTAAGCGAAGCAACCAAGGCAGACTCGTTGTTGATTGGCCCGCCTTGAAAGCAGTTTAGGTGTTACGATACCGCGTCTGGCATCGAATACATAAGTACATATCAGATTGTTTGTATATACAATAGTTCAGCCTGAGTTACTCCAAGGACGGCTGATGACGCGCACACGTACGTAAGCATAGGAGGGCATACTTTGCGGCTAACTCCTCTCTGGACATGCTATAGACGTACCTCGAGCATTTTCGCATTGTCATCACAACTGCAAACAGACCAAATATCGTCAGTATATTGTCTCTTTTATACTACAAAATAAACGATCACATTTACAAACGCATCATACAAACGCATTCTTCGAGAGAAAATAATTCAGTAGGGGGGCAAAGGTGAATTTTCTCTCTCGTTTAATCAAAAATCTACTGTAATCTATTCCCTTTGATTATAAACGTTTGATCTGAACACCTACAGTCACCACATAAATACAGGGTAGGAAACAAAAGCGACCTTAGCGAACAAAGCAGTATCGAAGCAGGCTTACTTTCGTTAACTTAACTTTCAGCCGATCTTTTTTCGACCTTCCCCGATTGTCCAAGCCGCCACAACTGATATCAAAATCTACGCAGATACGTCACTTGATGATCTACGTTTTTCAAAACATAGTACCGTATCTTTGTCGATTCTACGACAAAATAGGTTATGGCCTATTTGAAACGAACTGGAAGAATCAATTCTTGAACTAAACTTGATGAACACGAGCCGTAGCAACACCCTTCGACGGCCGGCTACAACATAGACCCATTTCGTGCCGGGGTCCTTTGTTTTCGATTGCTTCGGCAGATGGTCTCTCACAGAAAGCATACGCAGTGACTCCAATTTGGAATGAACCCTCTACATCTATCAGCGTATATGTGCTGTATAATATTTTTTCCCTCATAGGCGAGGAGTGTAGACATTATAATCCTCACAGGAGAGCTCTCAGCTGGACTCGAGGAACCTCATTCCTGTCCGTTTGAAATTTAATTTCGTTTCCGATAGTGTATTGTGTTCTGCAAACAGCGTAAAGAATAGCCTAATAGAATTTAAATTGGGCCCGTAAGCCGACCAACCGAGAACAATATGGGCTAATATCAGGGATTCGGAAGATTCCCCTATAGAACTTACCAGTTTTACTAACGGAGAGTATGAAGACCAGATAGGGAGATGAGCTAAGGGTTAATATCTGTATGGCAGCAGTCGAAACCTTTCGTCGCCTTCGACACGGGACAGCTCGTTTAGGAAAATTTGAACTAGCCAGGGTAGCCGCGCCAGCAGCGTCAAAACGAGACTGAGCTGAATAGATCCCAAATAGAATACATAATTATCCGTGAAGGCTCTCTTCTACCAGAAAGTCATGATTTCGGTATATGCGCCCCCTGAGCTCCATCTGTTTGGGCGGCCCACGGTTATCTCTCACTAAAGCGAGCTCGTATTCAATGTCGAATAGACAAATAGCCGTGAAATTAATAAAAACCGTGGAACAGCTTAAATATAATCATAATAGCTTACTGTGTAGAAAAAAATCCTCACTGACGTCGTCAAGCTTACACGCCGAAATATTCGTAATTTATGTATAGAACTGGTTGCTGTTAATGATCCTTTTAACGCCGTAATTTCACCGTCATTCCTACACACAGACGAAGGTGTAGTTTGTTCGGTACTTTTGCGTTGAATTAGCGCGTCGTTCCATCGATCGTTGGACGCGGCATAGTTGAAATATGAACAGGTTACAAAGTGGACCAAAAAACAGCGATATATTGGTACTATCAAGCTCGTTTCCGATACTGAGGTCAGTTACTAAAGACTTCTCGCTTTTTGAATATGCGATGTGGAAGCCAGCGCGCTAAGACGTTGGCGCTGTGTCGTAAGCACGGGCTTCTTCAGCCCTTTATTTTAGGTTTCTATTTTTGAAGTCGATCGTTCCCATTGCAAAGACGACAATTCACATATGGCAAATTAGCTTATGAAAAACCTACGATTAGAGCAGGGTACGAAAGGTCGATTAGAGCAGGTCGAAAAGGCCAGACCCTTACACACACGCAATTTAATTCTGTTATTTTTATTAAGCCAAATTGACGTTTACGAGTTCACAGTTGATTTGGACCAACAGCATTTTGATGATATGATATAAGCTGCTGCTATAAGCCGACAGGTTCTAGTGCAGAGTTACATCACAGACCACGTGGTCATCTTACTACGATGAGTGAACAGACGTGCTAAACGGGTAAACATGGCTTGACTTGAGGCACTCTATTATGAACATGAACGTTTTTAACAGATAGAACTTTCGGGATGCATAAAACTCTCGCAATTACATGTAGTTGTAAAAACGTTCGTACATGTAAAAATTTGTCTAGATATACCATTTTTAAGTGTTCTTAAATTCTCTCTGTGTATTTTGCCATTCGCGTCATTGTATCATGTTCTATTTTGTCGACAAATACCCGCATGCAGTAAATGTCTACTCAATCTAAGCATATGCATGTGCAGGTAGATATGACCTCACGACTAGGTCGGTATATGGCGAATTACTGCTTCGAGGCTCTCTGTAACTTGGAAAGCCTCGAACCTGGACGGTCCCTGTTCTACAGTTATTTAGCCTAACAGAGCCTTTCGTCCGAAACTGTGTTCTCATTGTATCAAATAGACGGTTGCCTCTAGAACGGAATAAATGTGTTTATTTCGAAACTTGAACCCTACGTCCCTAACATAAGGCACCTGTAGTTGAATCATTCAACGACAAGCTTATCTAATAATAAATACTATGCTTAGAGATGTGGGTACTTAGCAAATAGCACTTGTTCCGCTTGTTCCAGCAGTTTCACCGCTGCTGGGTACGGTGACCGAATCATGTCTTACGCGAAGTCGAGTATTTGCAAAGGCACGTTTAGGCCATTTTGCTGCACGCAGACGCTATAGTCATCTTGCAATGGAGCGTTTCGGTGTCCAGTGTCGTCTTCCGAAGTCAGCGTCGGACCACGGACCCGGTAGTCCATTACCGTTTCGTCCTGCTGTTCCATAGGCTTGTTTGTTTGTTCGTCTGCTTGTCCTCGGTCGTCTTTTTTTGCTGTTTATGTGATTGGAATCGAGAGGAAAGATTGCATTTCCATATCTCTACATCCACACATGCGATGTGTATAATAGAGACGAATGCGTCGTAATGCTACACGTCTGCAAAGAACAAAGAAAACGATTCTTGGAAGAACAGACGCCATCATTTAGCAGCATCCCAATGGAGTACGATACAGATACCATAAAGTCGGCTACATGGCGGACTAGCGACAGAAAGTTGACAGGCTGGGGGTGCAATCGTACATGACAAGATGAGTACGCCATTGCAGAGACAGGACTATACGTTTTATGTGAAGCACGTACAGCAGTGACATCGAGCTTGTCAAGCTGGTGTCTGATATCAGAACAAAATTTCTCTTCTCTCTTTCGGCCTTTTTGATGGTATCTATGTGGCCGCTATTAACCAAAACAGCAGATCGAATGCTCACTATTCATCGTTTTAAAACTATCTGGAAATAAAGGTTAGTAACTTGATCAAGCAACTTCTCGACCTAAAGATTAATTTGTAAATCATCGTAAGATGAGTATTTATAAGGAAGATGCGTTTATGACTACTTGAGAGAAAACTACCTTAAATAAACGAGCCATACACAATAGTATTCCAACTTGCTCTAAAGAATCAGTGCGCCTGATAACATCATACTAAAAAATTAGACAGGGAACTGCCACAAATTACGTTTTTTTGCTTTAGAACGATTCCGCCGTGAGCCACCTGACGCTTAAGATGAACCCGTGCAAGATTACACTTTAACTAATGTAAGCCAACGAATAAGCATAGCTCCCAGTTTAAATGCAGCTTCATTATATTAAAAGGAGAACTTGAATAGTAGGGCTGCGGAATGTGTGACGCAACCTATCAAGGTCTCATTGAGATTAGCTCTTTGGATCTACAACCCTCTTTATGTGAGTTTTATTAAAATGTTTAAAACATTCCAATTACGAGGCAAGAACGTGCGCAAATCAGTGCAAATACATGAGGAAACAAACACGATCCTTTACAATGAAACTCCGCTGTTCTCCTAAGGACAGAAACTGCATCGCCCCCACTGAACAGTTGTTGAAAGTACCCTCAAATACTTCGCATCGTAGCGATTGGGCCAGACAACCAAAAGCCATAAGATGAGTCATCGATGCAATTTATTACTAATATATACTATTTTTAACATATGGTTGCTTAAATGAAAGCGCCGTGGCAAGTATCTTTTAATTCGTTGCTATTTAGGTGTAGTCAACGAAGTGGTTTTGAAATCAGTTGTTTTTAACATAAAGTTGTACCTTCGTTTGGCCTTAGGATTGGGCCAATTATCAGTACGAAGGCATTTGAGGTTTGAGGTCGGCGAAGTCAGGTCTGCGGACAACTTAGGCATTGGAACGGAGTGTGTGGTTGATGGTGCACGCGGTATACTTCGAGTCGCCGACGTTAAAATGTCAGGGCAACATGGCGGAGGCGGTGATTCGGTCGCTGAAACCCCAGTAGCCCCAGAAAGTGGAGTATACCCTCCGGAGGAGCCATCAAGTAAGGATGAAGGCGTGAAGGATGTTAGGCAGAAAGAGGATCAAGCGATTTCAACGGCCATAGAGAACAGACGGGTTCAGCGCATCTCATCTGACTTGCGCGGAGTAGTCAGATGGTGAGTTGGCTGGGTGTTCCGTGTTTTTGACTCCGTTTGAAATTATCTTGACTAGGCTAACTGTTGTGTTCGGCCATTAATTGTGAAATTGGCTCTTACTGGCGAGTGATTCTTTATTAATTGTCATTTAATAACTGAGTTATTTTAGGAAAAAGCGTAGAATTTCTATTCACTTGCATTTGAAATAAGTAGTCGCAGAGAGCCGAAAGCCAACCCATGAACGTGGCAATTTCATGATTGTTGACGCCATAATGCACTGTCACTTTGTTTAGTCATAGGATTTGCTCGTTGAAATTCGGCACTAGCTTGAGCTCCGAAAAGGTATTTAGATAACCCTAGAGAGTCAGCTAGAAAGCCACTGTAACATGAAAATTGACTACGTAAATTAACGCAGAATGATTAGAAATGCTCTAAGTAAATTGTTTTTAAGTCAGTGATGAAAACATTCATTCTGAATTGTGTACTGTTGCCACGTATATGCACGTACGTACGAGGTTGGCTTTCTCGAAAAGCTAGTTTTTCAGTACCTTACAGACATACAATACTCATTTATGATTACAGATAACATAAATCTTAGCTAATTTGAGTAGGTACAATTCTCGACTTTGCTACGGATTCATCGAACGGGAGGATACTAAATGTGAATTGTTCGTCCATCGCAACTCTGTTGTGATGGCACCGGGTGAACCGGTGTTTCTTCGAGCTGAGTCCGAAGTCCTTTTCGACTTGTGGACACTTTCCGATGGCCGTCTTGAAGCTCAGGCCGTGCGTGCCATTAATGGAGAGCCTATTTCTCTGCGAGGCACCCGAACAACAGGGCCACCCCGTAGCTTTCATTATGCTGTTCATGCCGCCAGAATTTATGACATTTTGTGTCAGCCCAATGTTTACGGTCAGTGTCGTTTCGACTGAGTTAAGAAAACACAAGAGCATTTGATCTTACGTTGTTTTTTTAGACGCCTATTATCTACCAGCCTATTATAACATCATATGCAAAGAAAAGAAAGCAACCATAAATTAGCATTAACTATATTCGTCTCAGCTAATCAACGAGGGATATTGCTAGAGATTCTATCTATAAGCCTATCGATTTCCCGTCTCTTCACGTTGGTTGATTAACGCTTTCGCTTCCTTTTTGCGCAGTCTTTTTTTTGTAATTTGCAATCTTGCAAGCCATTGCTTAAAAAGTGCCTAAAAAAACCTGCCTAAAAATTTCGTATCTGTCAATTCTACGGAAATGCTTTCTCAAACCTATTCTGCAGGATGCTGTGTGCCATCGTACTGTCCGTGTTGTGCTAGGCCGATTTGGCACGGAGCTGGAGGTGCCGCAGGCGCTAACGGAGGCCGTTCGAGACGCGGCCTCGCAGACGCGTCTGGGTCCAACGGCGGCCAGAATAGAAGATCTGTGCAGTACGTGGGCCAGCCACTGGACAAGTGGGCATAAACTGACGGGTAGAGGGCAGAGAAGAAGCAAAAAGTCCTTTCATACTCTACCCCCTACTTTGACTAAATACACGCGTGTTCAGCACCCATAAGTGTCTTCTGGTTTATTCATTTCGTTACACACAGGCATACAAACAGCAAGCATGTGTGGATTGTTAGGAAGCACTTTGTAGCTTGCGCAGTCGGTATCTATTAGATATTAACTCAATTAAAATTTTAACCTCTAGTATTACCACTCTTATTTATTAAATCTGACGCTTTCCAGTGACCGAGGACGGGGCGCAGCGTTTTGTAATTTGCAATATCATGATACAAGATACGTATCGTATTTTTAATAATTATACCGTAATTACCATACGCATAAAAAAAGTACATTGTCCAACGGTAGGTTGTGTACCTATTGCCTTCCAGGCCAAAGTTGGAAGCGGAGACGTTCTGATTTGATAGCTACATTGCTGGCTTTACGTCGTCCCGGCGGACACCTTCTGGACACCCTGTTTCTCACAGGTTTCGACAGTAGCGCATTACATTGAATATGGACGAATTGTAATTGATGGGTATTTTTTCCACTATACTACTGAAATACTAATAGTATGATGAAGCCTTACTTGACATGATTGGGTGTAACTATTCTTTGAAAGGTTAAAAAAAGATCTACAAAAGTTTAGACTAAAGACTAGTTTAGTAAGGAGCTCGTAAACGATGGATAAGAGCACTCAACCGCTCAGTTAATGAAGAAGTTACGAAGAATTCGTCTGCAATAATGGAACGAATTGAAAGTTGTGTATCTTGGGACGGTCTTAGAGGGTTAGTGAGTCGAGGGGGGGGGGGGGGATGTATCTACATCATCTCTGCCTAGTATATTTGACTACCTGACGTTCTGGAAATTAAATGATATATGTTTTTCTTCTAGTTCTAGAGTTGACGCAACAATTTTGATGGTGCCTGCCATAGGATTGTTCCATATTGTCACTGCACTTCACATACTATCCTTCCGTCGAAAGCCATGACTAAGTTTTTCGCTAAGCTCGTGGAGCCTTTCAAGGTAGTAGAGAAAACTTCATTTGACGCAGCCGATAAGAGAATGACTTTATAGGAACGTAATCCTGCAAATGATCTATTGGACAGCCCAATTTCTTACACGTGTTGGGTTGTCGTTGTTTTTTCAATTATTTTTCACTTTTTTTTTTTCAATTATTATTTGCACTACTGTCAGATAGTAAATGGTTGAACGTTGCATTTCAAAAAGCGATAGACTTAATATAATCTATCGCTTAAGTTGACATCGAAAAAAAGTTGTGATCTGCTAAATCGGCATGTTTAATGAACCGGTTACCAAAGACGGTGATATCAAACGTAGGATTAAAAAGTCAGCTATGAACATTAGGTAGATTGAGTACAGCTCTTCTAGCTATCTTAGTGACGCACACTTCTAGTTTTGTGCTCTAATATCGGCATACGTTACCGAGGTAATAATACCTCGGTAACATATGCCCTTGTTCACTGAGGCAATACGGCTACGTAGGCAGGTGAAGAACAATCAAAGCTTCAAAGGTATATTGTTACCTTCAGACTCGAACAAACACCGTTTACCAAAGTGAATGTTACCACTATGCCATTCCTGTGATACCGTCTACTGTACTTGATTTTTGTAGTTGATTACAAAGGAAATCAGCTTAGCGGCTGGTTACCTCAAAGGTAACATAAGGGATTTTTAATACCGTATTTTAGAAACGTGCACGCTTAACTACACAGCTTAAATTTCCGCTAACGATTCTGTACGTCAATAGAATTAACATCTCTGGCTTCCCCATTCTTTTTTTTTTTTTTTTTTATAAAACACACCTATCCAAAAGCCATTTTTCAAACGTTTTCATCATCTATAAAAACTATGGTCCATTATAATCCCTGTAAATGAATGAAAAATATATGTTAAGCATTTGCCTTGTAAGCTAAGTTTAGCACAGTATTTAAAAGACGATGTGGACCTTTTCTAGGCAGCTGACAATATATATAGATAATATATATATATATAATATATATGATAAGAAGAAGAAGCGAAGTATCATTTATGATGTTCTAGAACAGCCTACTTTGTAATTGGTCAAGATTCATTTGATTCAGTAAACATATAACAAAATTAGGAAAAAATCATTGTTATTTTGTTATAAGTAACATGTTCACATTTTCCCTTACGAATTAATCGTTTTATCTAAATTATATAGATTTGCTGCCATGAGACCGACAAGCGCCAGTGGACCATGATTTTGAGCGGTGCAGTCAGATAGGACAGGTCAGAGAAAGGCAAACGAGCATTTGTCCCGAATTCCTAAGGTCGCTGAATCAAACCAAGAAATGCTAAATAGAGATTTTTTCGCTTTTGCTGACAGCGTAGTTCTTTTTCTCACATCGAATTATAAAAGGGGATCACGGCTACATAGGGCCACTGTACTCGGCAATAGTCTGCACTTGTCTGAGATGTATTGATGATTGTTTTGCTTTGCTTTGCTGTTTTGTACCTATTGCTTAATTTAATGTGACATTGTCTTTGGGCCAATAGAAATGGTAATTTTCAAGGGTATTCATAAAAACAATACGCATTAAAACAAATAGAATTTATGTTTGGTTAATATATGTTACACGTCTTACCATTTCAGACAACGTCCTTGCATAAGTTACGCACGCACATAAAGTACTATTCGAATTTGGCTAATTTTTTGGTAGTTCGTTTTGACGGCCCGGACGTGTAAAGAGGCAAAAATAATCTTCCAACAACAATACTCTGTACCGATTGTTTATATTATAAAATATATACTACAATTTTTATATACTACACAAACCGATTTAATTTCGAGAAAAACGTCCGCTTTATATAACTACAATGGTTCTCTTAATAATCGTTAGTGATCTTCTAGCGACTTGAACGGAGGAGCTGGGTTTCCAGTAAATACGGAAGAGTTTCTTCGTGTTAAAACAACTGGTCTCCACAAATCCATCCCCATAACGTTCGTATATGACAGAGTTGCAAATGTACTAGCTTTATATGCAGTGTATTTTCATGATAGATTACGAGGAAATATCGCCTAAAATATAATACCGCCTGCCCATTGATTTATTTTCTACAGCATGGCTTGTGTGAACATATTTCAGACGGTGTGCGTTCTTCTGATACGAGTTATTAATTCCGCTTGACTTCATTCTAGTTATATTGTTTGATAAATTATACGTTTTCTTCGCTTATATTTTATTGCTCCGCATGGAGAGAAACGATCCGCCAGCAATCATACCCCACCACGCTTTGTGCCTAGCCCATATTGACGAATGCTTACTGGCTCACCCGAGTGTTTATTCAGTGAAAACGAATGGAGTGCACAAGGTCGAAAGAGGTCGCTCTTTCTTGGACCCTATATATATATATATATATATATATATATATATATATATATATATATAGGAACGCGTACGCCAATTCTCGTTGCACCATTATCTGCTCTTAACGAGGCTAAACCGTTGCTGTGGCGATGACTAACGGGTTTTACATTAGAAATTCTACATACGTATTACTTTCGGCGTACGTAAACTTTCCACTCGCGCGGTTAAATTCGAAGACCCGGTTTAAGGTTCCAGAAAGATCGAAAAATATATTAATAGAATAGCTTAGAATATCAAAGGGAACAAAAGCAGGCTGATGATAATCAGTGACAAATAGTCGCAGAGAACAATGAGCCAACACAAAAAGGGCACGGTCAAATTACATCAAGCTCGAAACTGTACAACTGAGATTCCGCAAAAGTGATAGGACCTGTAAGTAGCGTGACCAGAGACAAAGACTCTGAAAACGTTACACAGATGCGGTTCAGCGACACGAAGAATGAATGGTACAAACTAAGAACAGCTTGAGGCCAACGAATGAAGGGGGCTATGACGTGGGCGAAAGAATTGGCTGAGCCATAACAAGCAGGAGTACATAAGGACAGACAGGGACTGAAATAGCGAGAAAACAGATAACGAAGAAGCGGACATCTTTCTGCATACGAAGTACGGAGTGCAATCGTAATTTGGTAGAAACAAGATAAACACATCCTTTTGTTTCGCCGAAAACGTCCTACCATGGGCATCAGCAGACTTCCTAAGGACGGGAAGGAAAACAAATAGAGTCGCCAGGAGACCACGCGACAGCTGCTTCCTCTAAAAAAAGAAGAAACATGAACTACGAATAAGTTGTGTATTTAAATTCATCCCTTGTTATCATCCTAAGGGGAAAAGATATGCTTTGCTTTCATTCGGTTATGGAAAGGGGAAAGCCAGAGCCCAAAAGATTACCATTATAATAAACGAAGATGAGTAGACAAAAAGCAGGCATCATAGCGAAAAAAGTTTTCAACCAACGAAAAGCATAAAGGTCGCGATTGTAAAAAGTGAGGAAAGCTTATCGGACGGACTGTATGGCATATTAGGGGCGAGAGGGAACGCTTAAATATGAGGTGCTTTACAAGATGTAAATAGATCTAGAAATAAAATTTACCTCCAGAAGCAAAAAAGCTTAGCAGTGTGTCGATTTGCGCCCTGCAAACTTGGATTTCTAATAGAGAGGTTGCAATAGAGAATACGAACCAGATCAATTGAAGGATGTGGATTTTTCAAGTGAACTAGTAATACATATCGCTGACGATATGTGTGGAATAGGAGTCGAAGAAGGTATTGACTATGGGCTGGCTAGTACCTAACATATTTGCTTGCTAATTTTAGGGAAACGTTATGGCTTGGGCTAGAATCCAGACTTAAACAGACTTTGTTTAAGATCGATAGAATGTCTAATGGCGATATCGGACGTGCAGCTTAAATTACAGAGGCTACTCAGTACCAACAACAATCAAAATAAGCTGCTTCTTAAAGCGAATGTCAATAGTTTTGTTAAAAACACAGATAAAGAAACGTAAGTGTAAATCGAAGAGTCTTGTATTACGGAAAATGAAATTACGGTCAAAGTTGCAGAGGCCGATATACATACACAAATAGAGGAACGAGTCGATGGTTAATTACGCATATTTAAAATCCTCAAATGAGATCGCAAATA